AGACAAAACGAAAAATAGGTAGAGCCAAAATATGATTAGGGATTACCATACTTTAGCATAGAGGGATTAAGACCATGAAAGTTGGAGGGGTTGAACGAACTTTTTCTGTACACAGAGATCTGGATTTTCTGTTTCGATAGTCAAAGCTTCAGCAATACAGATGAGTCGGGTACGTAGGGATTTGGGTAAATTACTCTTTGCCTTGTAGATGACTTTGAAGGCGGAGGCTATAGAGATAGGGTGATCATTATCGACCAGATGTTCAATGATCGCGCTTCTTATTGCTCCACTTCCACCTTTTCGTAACCATGCAGGATAGTGTTCTTGCACCCTCTTGGACAAAACTCGAGTCGAACGACCGATATACCTAGCTCCACAAGAGCAGGTGAATTGATAAACACACATAGAGTTGGGCAACAGCGGGATCTTGTCCTTCAGGTTATTGAACAATAATGGTCGACTAGTAAAGGCTATTCTCAGAGATGCAGCAGGGAATGTTCCTTTCAGGGACTGTGATATCCTTCTTTTCATGATATCGGCAGCTAAGTCCCCTCTGAATTCCAAGCTCATGTACAGTATTTTCTTGTGTGCGGATGATAAGTCACATTTTAGAGGATTTGAATGTATATTCTTATCTATAAAACGTAGGGGGGAAATCCATTTTCTATTAGGATTTTCCTCAAAAGATTTAACTCATCCTCCATAGTAACAAGACTACATATGAGCCCAATGCGAGTGGCAAGCGACCGGATCAGGTTTCGTTTTCAACCAATGAGTAACCAGCTGTAGAAATTTGTCAGTTGACCATTTCATGACAGCTTTCGATAAATCGATCTCTTCAAAGTTCCATCGGTCCTCCTTGATAAGTTCACATCGAGGAAATGAATACTAGACTCGTTCTCCATTTCTAGTGTGAATTTTATCGCTGGATGGCAACCATTAAATGCATTTAATATATATTATTCATTTTCACAAAGATTTGTGCAAGTCAGCATCCTCTGACTGTTCAACAATTAACTATATTACTCATCACCTAACCCGTAGTCTGCCATTCAATCAAAGATAAACTTTCCAAATTTAACTTTTACGTACTTCAAATATTTTTTGTTGGTAATAACTTCTATTCTATCTGCTTCAAAAAGAGAAAGTTCTCAGAGATTTGTAAGTCTTTAACTCAGTTCTATGGTATTTATGACCTCAGTAAGTAAAATAGAAACCATAAACTTCAAAGGATTGGTAAAAAACAACAGTCGGAACATAAACTAAAATTATCATAATAGGCAGTCATATTTAGCAGAAATTTCTTTCTTTTTCATTCTGTTTTTATATTTAAACCATAAGAAATGATTAGATTTTATGCCATTTTGCATAGATTGTTTATGTATTAGGAGAAGTTTTGATTGAACACTAGTTAGCAATTAGTGTCGCTTGATGCAGACTGAATTCTATCAGTCACGTTTGCAATGTGTCGCCAGCATGATAATAGGTGGCTCGGTATCATAGTGCATTTTGAATTGTTGATAGTTATATGGTTGGACGCAGTTGGTAAAAAGCCTTGGACCTCGGTTTCGTGCTAGTTAGCACTTACCAGTCAGTCAATGAGGCGTATCAGCAACCTAGAAGGAACTTATGTCCCTTCTGAGATTCGAACCCGCGTCACCCAGTGTTGCAGTCAGAGACGTTACCACTGAGCTATTCAGGGTCGCGACTGACCTCTTGTAGGACTGTATTGGATATTTTTTGATTGCACACTAGCATGGTGGCCACATTGCAAACATGACTGATAGAATTCAGTTTACACCGAAGATAGGACTAGACACATTACACTAGTTACTGACTAGTGTGCAATCAAAAATATCCAATACAGTCCTACAGGAGGTCAGTCGTGAGCCTGAATAGCTCAGTGGTAACGTCTCTGACTGCAGCACTGGGTGACGCGGGTTCGAATCTCAGAAGGGACATCAGTTCCTTCAAGGTTGCAGATACGCCTTGCTGATGAGTGCCAACTAGCACGAAACCTAGGTGTAGCCAAGGCTTCCTGCCGATTGCCTCCAACCATCTAATACCAATAATTCACAGTGCACCGTAATGGCGAGCCACCTAGCATGGTGGCCACATTGCAAACATGACTGATAGAATTCAGTCTGCACCGAAGATAGGACTAGACACATTACACTACTTACTGACTAGTGTGCAATCAAAAAATACTCATGAAGTACGGAACACAAAAGAAGGCTGAAAGAGTTTCTTTTACAAAATAACTGATTAAACAATAATTTCAATATTAATCTGATGCCCACTAGCGACTAACCCTAATCAGGTAGGTATTTACCTGAGTTCTAGTGCAAATTCATGACCAGCGGGATACAGAAGGTCAGGTGTGAGGACAAATATTATCCACAGATGATACTGCCTAATGGTTGCGCCAAATAGTGAATCGGCAGAATTTGGAATTTATGGACTGGCCACTGATTTTCGCCCCAGTGACTTAGTGACTGAAGGGCCCTGTGACTGAACCCCTGTAGATGCGTTCTGATGATGAGTCCCAAACTAGGACGAAATAACTATCCAGTACTCCTTGTTGGTTTTCCAATGGTTTTCTAACCGATGTCAGCTTATGATGGGATCCAATATTTTTTACTGTTCAGCAGTGATATTTGCTTATATCCGGGTTGTCGTCTAACTTGCACTAATCTACACCTTGTGCTTCTCGATGCAATCTATTATTCATTTCGCCCTCACACTATCACGTCCATGTCACTCTTGGAAACACTTTCAAATTAATCGTTTCTCACTGAAACTCCACCTGAAGTTTTGACGTGTGATGTTATTCAAGGGTCTATCACACAGTATCAGCACCATTGTCATTTTCGTTCACATGCAGTAAGTATCAGTAAAAAAGACTCCAGCCTGTAAGACTCATCTTACGTAAGTAGACTTATTTGCCTCTGAGAGCCAGACAACATGAATTTAGACCATTTCTTGCATGAGTTCAGATGTTTGTCTACTACAGTAGTAGCGAGCTGACTTAATAACACACCACCTCCCCTATTGAAAACCTTTAGTGTTCTTCTCCTCAGTGCAATAGAGTCGTTTTTGAGCATCCCAGGGAAGACAGAAGAGTAGATATGATTCAAGAGTTAGGAAATTGTAACAATAGAGATTTAGGGACTCATTTTTTTATTCCTTCACCTTCCCAGTGGAACATAGGGTGGCTTCAAGCTAGGGGTTTGAAGTCTCCGTAGCAGCGGTATTTACTTTTACTGGATGAGGTTGCTAGCCTTCTGCCCAACCTTCTCCCTTTACCAGTTTTATTACTGGCTTAGCAAGGTGAATGTGAGCACTCTGCCGCTGTGCCACCAACTCACATTTTAGTGACTCTGTTTTGTTCTTACCTGTTAATGTAGTAGGTTGGAGGGAACATTCTCCTAGTAATTAACAAGATATGGGAAGAGCAACCAAGAAAGTTCAGAATACAGAGCTATTCGAAGATGTTCAACGAAGCTAAATTGCACGGCGGCATACATTACTCGTTCATATAAGTATCAGTAGCTTTTGCTTACCAGATCGAATATATTTAACTACTTGACAGCAGTTTCTCTCATATGAGGTGACACTCAAATTTAGACGCGTCTGCATAAAAGTAAACCGATCTCAAATAATAATAATAATAATTTGCTTTATTCCAGAAACAGTACTAGTGGTGCAGTGTGGAATTTTCAGCACATACCTACAATATTTGCATCTAATTTTACAAACATTTAACAGAAGTATTTAACAAAAAAAATAAATCTACAGACACCAACAGCAAAAAAACAACAGGAAAACACAAAATAATTTTAAAAAATGCGAAAAAATACCAAGAAGTAGAAAGGAAAATAAACAGCATATAATAATAACTCAGTATTGGGTAGTGGAACCTTTGATATGACTTTGCATGGTGACAGTAAATCTATAGTCATACAAGAAGTTATGAAATGATATTTAAGAATGTTTACTGCCAAGAATATCAGTTAATTTGGTTGAAACAACACTAAACAATCATAAAATAACATTTCAGGGTTGTTGTTTTTTATCAGGTATAATGCGGTGTTTGTAGTAGTAGTGTGAGTAATCCTGCATAATAAAAAATTTTAAGATGGTGATAATGGCGTTCACAACCAATGATTGTCAGTTAATATTGCCGAAAAAAATAAAAAATAAAAAAACAACCACAAAAGCTAATAATTACATGATGGTTAGTAACAGGACAATTTTGTACTACTCATAGTGCTTATATAGTCGGAACCAGAAAAACACAAAAGAAGGAATAGAGTAAAGTACAAAAAGTAAGCCAATGTTAATAATTTAGGTAGGTAAGTATGTTTAAGAAGTTGTTCACTATAGAATACAAAATAAGAGAGAAATAAAAGAACCTAAAATTATGTTATTAACAACAAAGCAAGTCATAGGTTTCGCGCTTAACATTATCTCTGTCACTTAGAACACGGGCCAAATATGGTATCGTTGAGTTCCTGTACTTGGTTGTACGAGCATAGATTAGTTTATACTGATGTATTTACCAGGCACGAACTCTTCATCCAAGATACACAATACTCTATGACACAACTTTGGACACTCGCTGAGGAGGCCGCTGGGTGACATCGCGCGTCAGGCCAACGCTCGAGTGGAACCCGAAAGGGAAGCGGCGAGTGGGACGTCCAAGGGTGACATGGAGGAGATCGTGTGAAGAAGAGTTGAAACAGTATGGACTAACATGGATGCAAGTGAAAAGTACAGCAGAAGACAGAAGCAAGTGGAGACGTGCAGTTGAAGCCTTATGTTCCACCAGGAACCCAAGGGAACAATAATAATAATATGACACAACTAGAAATAAATTCAGGTTCACTATGTATTGTAATTGTGTATCGATTGTAGCTGTTTTATTTGACCAGCATTAAATTATTTCTAATTAAATTTCTTTTACTAACATTCTTTTTCTCTTGTACTACTCATTTCAGCGTCGTACCAGTAGCATATATACCAGATGAAACAATCGTAAAACCCTGTAGATCTGGTACAGCTGATTGTATGTTTGGTGATTGTAAAAAAATTTGGATGAGAAAAGGTAAACAACGTCATATCATTATTCAGTGTCATTGTTGGCCTGGATATAGCGGGGACTGGTGTAATATCTATCCACCAGAACGTATGCCATGGAGAGGTCTACTGAGAACAGAAGGCAAAGATGAAATCACTCCAGTTATTGAAGGCAGACGAAAATTTCGTTCATTACTCGACACATGGAATGAATTAAATATTCAGTATGCTGGTTTCTTAATCGAGAAAGATAGTATTATTAATAATAATAATATTACCGCAGCTGATCGATTGCTGAATAGATTTATCCTGTTTGAGAAAAGTTTATCAGATAAAGAAGGGAAAACTGATGAATAAATAATAATGATTTGACTTCCTGGATTGTAAAGAGTAACGAATGAACCCCTTCCCTCTCTCTCTGCCTTTCTGAATCAAGAACCTTACTGTCTCCCATAGAATTACCATTTCAGCTTATCCGTTTTCTTATGAATACTCTTCTGTTTATGTATTACTGTGAATCAACTTTCGAACTTTACAAGGTTTCTTTGTAATTACAGTTTTTTTCCTTTAATATGTATCGCCTTACTGGATGGTGGTGAGAAATTCTTTGTCTAAACGTTTGCCTACACTTTTAAAGGAGTTTCTCTACAGCTTGAGTGAAAACTACGCCGTTTCGATTAAAGACTCTATTGCTGATAAGGAATTATTAAGTTATATTTGATTTCTTTCATAGGAGTATTTTCTAAATAATGAAATTATAAACATTTGGTTTGTTTTCAATTTTTGCTCCGTCTTTTTATAGTTGGGTATTCATGTTTTACAGTGTTCATTCTTATTGTCTCAGATTGACGTATATCGTCTATTTTCTTCACGAATGTCTTCAATCCGTAAAACGTAAACTGGAAACTTCTATCTGTTAGGACGCAGCGATAGCGGGTTGTGCATCGTTTAACTTGATTAGAAGGCGCCTTCAGAACACGAAACCCTAACCAACTGATCATTTGAAAATATCTTCCACATTGAGAAAAATGACGACCTTTATTAGACAAAATAGATGGTACTCTAAATTTACGAATTCTTGAAAATTGAGGCCATAAATAAACGAATCAAACAAAACTTTCCAGTCAGGTTATCACTGCAGTATATGCATAAATTACGACTTCATGGCTAACACAGAAAGTGCCCTTTTTAGCACTGTCAAATGAGAAATCTGTTGTTCCGATCATTACTTACACTTAAACAATGAAATGGCCACACTATAGATAATTTTTGGATTACTTTGCTATACTGACAACGTCATTGTAATGTTTTTTGATGTTATCACCAAGTGATGTGTGAGTCGGTGGTACAGAGGTAGAATGCTCTCTAACCACGATTTATGTGGTTCGGGGTTCGAAACCCGGCCACTGACGCATCCCTTTACCTCACGAAGCCTGTATTAAGATTGGTAAAGAGGGAAGTTTTGACATGAGGCTAGCAACCTCATCTTGTAGAAATAGACACCACTGCTACCGAAATTTGAAGCCTCTAGCTTGAAGCCCCATGTTCCACTGGGAAGGTAGAAGAAATCACTTAGAAAAATGTCAGAAGACTCCAAGAAACAATGCACAATTTACTCATCATCCAATTTTGAGATTTGTTTAACACTTTCCAACCACATTCAGCTTCTGTGTTACTCTCTAATCAGCGTATAGAATGTACAGATATTGAAAATGAATGTAAACAAAACTAATAGAATTAAGCAACTCGAAAATCACCATTAAGTCATATAAAAGAAAAGGCGTTCAGAGAAGAGCTGCTCTTTTCATTTAAATCATTCTCAAGCTGTGCAATCATATATATATATTTAATAAATTTTACTTCGCAACAAAAGGAATATTTCCAATGATGCGCCGTTAGAAGTGTAAATTTCAGATAACAAATTAATTAAAGCAGAAAACGTTACTTGGTTAGCAACCAAAATAAAATGAGTCGGATGTTTTCATCATGAGCTGACACCTTAGGTAGGTAGGGTTCTAGTGGGAAGTCGTGACTAGTAGGTTACAGCAGGTTGAAGGTTAGGACAGTTACTCGTTGAAGAAGACATTGCTAAGCGGTCGCGCTATATCATGAATTGGCAGAAATTAGAATTCATGCGTTGGCTATTGGATTGGGTCCCAGTGGCTCAATGGTTTACGAGCTTTGTAACCAGAAGGTCCTGAGTTCGGACCCTGTCGGTGGGTGCGTCCCAAATTAGGCTCACGAAACAGATGTCCAGTACTCCCTGTTGGTTTTCCAATGGTCCTCTAACTGATGTCAGTTCATGATGAAACCCTCCAAACCAATCAAACAAACAAAATCCCTACAAAACCAATACTTAAAATAAAATTATCTAAGCAACAAGGATTGATGCAGTGTAATTGATGGGACTGATAAGAATACAACTAAAAGTGAACAAGGGTCAAGTTGTTAACAACAGTGGTAATAAGAGGTAAGAAATTTATTAGAACTTGGGCAAGGAAAATAGTACAATTAAGAAACAAAAATAACTGCTTATCGAGTGTTAAGATAGATTAGGTTCATTGTAAATTTAGTGAATGAACAAACTTCTTTTCTATGCAGGATTTAGGATTTAACGTGTGAATCACTATCGCCATTTCTTCTGCAGTTTGTAGAAGTTTAATTCGTCTTCTTTCTGCAAGATTACCAAGTATTCTGTAGGTAAATGTGAAGTTTCTTTGCGGGTTAGCTTAGTGTCCTGATTCGATCAGGTATTTCATGACAGAGCTGTGCTGGGAGATCTTCTTTCTCCTTTATGAAACCATGAGGGTGAGTGTTTGCCGATACGTTTCGATAGCAAACGCTGAGTATGGACGACATAACTAGCTCCACACGAGCAGGTGAATCTGTAGATACACAGTGATGAGTCCAGTAGTGGTAGCTTATCCTTATCATTCATGTAAATCATTGGTTTTGTGGAGAATGTTATTCGAAGTTCAGCTGTGAAGAAGATTTTCTTCTGTGAGCCGGACAGGTGGTTTCTCAGTAATTTTGCACATGAGTCTCTGTTAAGTTGTAGATTCAAGCAGGGAAGTTTTCGACAGCAGAAAATGTGGGCAGTTTTAGTGGTTTAGGTCTAATAGATTTCATCTACCTGAAGATTTCTTTGTTTAACCATGCTGTTTTTCATTATTCTTGTTGTCACAGATCGCTCTAGTTTTTCATCCTTTTTATTGATAGAACCATTATTATTATGGCTAATTGCAAAATCTATAGGCACTTTGATTGGTATATATTTTAATGTTATTTAGGTATATTACAGTTAATTAAGCCTAATGAGATCCAGTTAGTTAGTTAGTTAGTTAGTTAGTTAGTTAGTCAGTTAGTTAGTTAGTTAGTTATTTAGTTAGTTAGTTAGTTAGTTAGTCAGTTAGTTAGTTAGTTAGTTAGTTAGTTAGTTAGTTAGTTAGTTAGTTAGTTAGTTAGTTAGCTAGTTAGTTAGTTAGTTAGTGTTAGTTAGTTAGTTAGTTTAGTTAGTTAGTTAGTTAGTTAGTTAGTTAGTTAGTTAGTTAGTTAGTTAGTTAGTTAGTTAGTTAGTTAGTTAGTTAGTTAGTTAGTTAGTTAGTTAGTTAGTTAGTTAGTTAGTTAGTTAGTTAGTTAGTTAGTTAGTTAGTTAGTTAGTTAGTTAGTTGGTAAACTTTGACAGATCCACTGCGTTAAGAGTTAAGCTTCTCCATGAAGCTCAATCTAGTGAATATAAATGAATGGAAATTTCCACTCAAAAATCAAAATATACTCAGACATTGTCAGCAAGAAGGATATTGAAGTCAGAAATCAAACCTCAGGATAAAATTGTCTCAGATATTTGTTACTCAATTGTTTTATGAAACTTTTTGCTTAAGAAGATTGCAGTACCTGAGCGATTCTTCTTTAATGTGTACACAACGTAAAAATAAAGTAAAATACAGCACTGAATAAATGCAAGCCAGTAAAAATAATTCAACTGAACTCAAAGTACTTAAGCATAAAACAAACCTGGCTGTAAGACAAGGGATTTGAACTAGCAGAAATATTTTGCAGTATGGAATTTTGTTTTATTCCTTTGCGTTCCCAGTGGAACATAGGGCTTCAAGCTTTAGCTTTGAAGTTTCAGTAGCACTTGTGTTATTACAGGGTGAGGTTGCTAGCTTCTCTCCTATTCTTTTCTCTTTGTCATGATTGTAACCAGCTAAGGGAGGTAAAGGTGTACACGGGCTGCGGCTCGAACCCAGGACCACGTGCATAGTCAGCCAGCTCTCTACCATTGAACCACCGAAGAAGTGTGCATTATTGTAGTATTATTTTTATTATTGTTCCCTTGGGTACCGAGTGGAACATAGGCCTTCAAAAACAAATCTCCACTTTGTTCTATTCTCTGCTTTCCCTTTCATCTGAGCCGACGATTGCGGGAAATCCCTCATCCTCTCCGTAAACGATCTCCTTCATGTCAACCTCTGGCACGCTTCCAACTCACCGTTTCCCATTCGGGTTGTACTGGACCCATGGCCTGACGAACGCTTGATATCACTTCATGGTCTAGCCAGCGATAGCTCAATCCATCCCCAGTTTCCTCGGAATATTTGTTGAGCTACAGGTTCTTGATTAATTTGCTCTCAGAGTTAATTACCGGTAATTCTTTCTGGCCATTTGATCCTCAATATACAGCGAAGACGGCTGTTGATAAAAGTCTTCAGTAGGCTGTTGGAAATGCTTTCCATGAAGCTCAGTGCTCAGCAGTAGGGTACTCGCCAACCACGAACATGTTACGGAGTTCACTCCTTGGCGGATTCAGGTTTTAACCTCATTTGGCTACTTATAAGTTTGGTAAAGATGAAAGGTTTCGCGTGAGGCAAGCAACCCCACCCAGTGAAAAAATAAACACTACAGCTAGTGAAACTTCTAAGCACAAGCATGAAGCCTCATGTTCCAGGATTGAGGAAAACTTTGAAATATTCGCTCCAATATGAAGGGAGTGACCTATTTCAAATTCCCCCCGTTGATAGTCATTGGTGTTGGTTGTTGTTGCTGTTGGTTGGTTATCTTCATCACCTCCATCTCCTCTATGTTCACCTCAAGTCCTGTCTTCGCTGCATGTCTCTTCCTCCAGTCTGTTGGTTTTCGCCTGTAGGTCTTCCAGTTTGTGTGACATTGGACAAAACTCATCCGCGCGCTAAATCCAAATCTTCTTAGTGGTGGTCCAGAGTATCTCTTTCTTCTCCCTCCTATGCAAAATCTCCTGCATAATCCAGTCCACCAGAATTAGGAATATCTTTGTGTGTTATAATAGGCGTCAACCTTATCTTTCCCCTGTCTTCACTTCATAAGCCTCGGTGAGTTTCCCGTTGTGGATCACTTGAGATGCACGACAGTAATTTATT